ATTCCACATTTCCATTTTTCACATGATATGAAACATCTCTAATTGTTTAAGATTTGTAGTAATACGCATATGATAAGACAATGTTTCTATATATAGATACATACTTGGCTCTAGAAGTCCAAATGGCCACGTCGAACCTCTCGAAGCAGAATTGCAAAAAATCTTCACAGAAGGGTCGCTTTGCTACTGCAAATTCATTAGATACCATGAACATGATTCTTTTTAGTACATTAAAAAATATTGTACAAGTAATTAATAATGTTAAGATCGAGTGGCATATTGCCATACTCGCATGCTTGTCAGAAAAATACCATTTCTAGAACTACATACACACGAATTTATTTACGTAGTATAATCATATATGTAAAGTTAGAGAATTCAACCTCACTATTTTTTGGTTTTAATTAACTAGTGTAAATCACTCGAGTTAATAGATTAAGCTCCAAACAAGAAAAAATTGTTATTTTAATCTCATTTTAATCAGGCGTCAGAACGGCCACCATATGAAGCTTTACGCGCCACCACACACCGACGAGTGGAAGTTACTCACAGCACACACTGCACACACCGTCTAGAGATCGGAGACGACACACACGTCAGGCTCACATCATCTACACATCATCATTCAGTCAGCATATGTAACCGGCCCATCATCATCCACCAGATTTTCAGTCCACCTCTATTGTTGCCACGTCATCTGATATGTGTCACTACGTCATACAAGGGTCAGTAGCATGTGTGTCACCTATCGCCAAGTCACTGACACTCGTGTCTGCACAATGGGCAGCTGCATGGACCAGACTGAACCGCTTCAAATTTCACAAGCCCTTTTCACCATCTTCCAAACCAGTTTTCAAAGAGGTCAGCCCGGTTCCCACAATTTTGACCATTTCAGATCCAAATGTTTGATTCGTTTGACCTAATTTGGATTAAAAAATAATTAATGAGAAATATTGTACACTTATTGTGGATAATTCATAGACGGATACCATGATTGCTCTTACTATCACAAATTACAATATGTGGAAACCTCGAATGGATCATTTGCTAAATTTAAAGGATTTAGCCGATCCTCTTGATAATAATGGCGCCAAAACAAACAAAAAACAGATGAAGGGTAGATTAAAATGAATAGAAAAATAGTCGCACAAATTCGATAATGGATCGATCATGGTATGTTCCACCATGTTGCCGAAGAACATAATGCTTACTTACTATGGGAGAAACTTGCTAGCATGTATCACACAAAAGGCGCTCGAAATAAGACGTTAATACTGAGACAATTGGTAAAGCACAAGTTACGTAGTGGTATCTAGTTGCAGAACACACAAGTTTGTTCCAGGACCTCGTGAACCAGTTGAGAGCCTCCAGAGGCTTAAAGATGAAGAACACATGATACTATTCTTGAGCTCTCTACCTGATAGCCGAGAGACTCTTGTTATTACTCTCAGTATTTTTTTCAACAGAAAAGTGACAATGTATAGTAGATGATAAAAGATGTATTGATGAATGAAGAAGCCCAAAGGAAAAAAGCCGAGACTGATTATATGTCCTCGTGTCATAAACCAACAGACGAAGGGGAAACAGAAATGGATGAAGAGGTAAAGGTAGAGGTCAAGGTAAAAATAGAGGAAGTCTCATGTTTGCAGCAGATCACGAGAACAAGGTGTGTCCTTTGAGAACTATACTAGATGTGAAGGATATTGTAGTCATTGTGGTTATTATTAGCATAGAAAAAGAGATTCTAGAAAGTTTTATGAGAGCAGCCCCAGACGAGTAAAAAAAAACGAGCCTACAAGAATATGGTGAGACTATGGTGACCATGACATCAAACATCTTACTTGTTACATATGGTGAACAATGTCTACATGTAGATACTCATGATATTGAGTGTGTGGTTGATACAACCACATTATTTCACACCACACAATGCCAAAATCTATTCACAACCTACAAGTTTGGAGAATTTGGAGATGCGATGATGGGAGATACGAGTTTCATGAAGATTGTTGACATTGTTGATGTGTCATAATAACCAATGTCAAATGCACACTTGTGTTGAAAGATGTTACTTATGTTCTGGATCTCATAGTGTAGCTTATTTCTGGTGCAATGATAAGTCCGTATTTCGACACACATTTGATGTGTGTTGGGATCGGCTTTTGATGGTTTCCCTAATTATTTTGTGTCACAGCTCTCAATTTTAGCTCAAGTCATGTTTACCGGGTGTTGGTTCGAGATTTATATTGTTGGAGTCAAAATCAGGGAATTTGAGCCCGGCACCGGCGCTTGAGAAGAAATCGGGACGATTTGAGAAGCATTCTAGATTGATTTGAGAGCTTTGGAGGTCACCTGGAGGCTAACGATGAAGATTTGAAGGCAAAAAAGCTCTAGGATTGGCTACGGGATCAAAAGAAGATGAATAGAGCTTGAAAACGGTGATCAGGATGACCTTCTGTTAATCGTTCAAGCATAACTTTTTGTAGAAACATCCAAATTACACGATTTAAGTTCCATATGAAATCCAACCTCAAGGGCCACAAATCATATGAAGACACCATTGCAAGAATCTGAGAGGAGGAAGGTGAAAACAGATGAAGAAGTCAGATGATCCCTGTTACGATTTCAGAATGCAACCTTCCACCATTTTATTCATATCTTTTGATTGGATGATTCAAATCCGGTTTTGCAAGTTGTGGTGGATAAATGACTTCATTTTTTACAACTTTGGTGAAGGAAGTATAGTCAAATTCGGAAGAAAAAAACTAGGCACGGTGGTGCCTGTCGGATAGGCACGCCCTGCTTGTAGAAGGAAGAGGAACTGAGCTACTGGAAGCCAGGCACGATCCTTCCTGCCCATATTGCGCACGAAGTGCTCCGGACGCACGGTCTCAGGCACGGTAGTGCCTGACCCCAGAAATCCCAGTTTGAGCCGAATTTTGCCTGTTTTATATAAATAAGGCCTTCATACTCATTTTTGGGGTTACGAACTTCATAAAGAGGCCTAAGGACGAATTTATCTGCGTTTTTCCTCTGTTTTCTTCACGGCCCTAATATTATTTGTAAGTTCAATCTTTTTAATTAATGACAATTAATTCTATTCATCCCAATTATGTTGATTCTTCAATTATGAGTTGTGAGTCATAAGCTCGCTCGTCTTGGCAATAATTTAGGAACCTGTCGCATGAGAGTCTGAGAGATCAGTCTGGTCCCCTAAATTATTGTACTCTACGCTGCGAGATCAGTAAAAACTTGGTAATTTTAGCTACGCTCAATTAAATTAATTTCATGTAATTAAGCCTGATATGCCAGAAATCTGGTTACCCCGGAATCAATCCATGTTCCCTTTGTCGTTAATTAAGAAGAAACCGCTTTATTTTATTCGTTTAATTGCAATTTAATTTTCCAACCCAATCAATCTCGCACCATTACATTTTTTTATTTTCTGTTTTATCGCTGAATTTAGTTAATTCTTATTTCCCTTTTGTCCGTCCCTGTGGAGATGATACTCGTACTTTCATCACTTTACCACAATCTTTTTAAGTGCGGGAAAACTCACATCATGCAACTATGAACCATTAGGGATATGATAATCAATTCAAACAAGGTATGTGGAAGTTATCAAAAGGTTTCTTGAAGAAGAGACATCACTAAACTTGTGGTCTCGAAGGTTAGACCACTTGAGCATGAAAGGACCTGATAATTCTTGCTAAGAAGGAAGACATTTCCATTGATAAAGGTGTTTCCTTGAATCCATGCGAGTATCACAACACTGAGTTTCCTTTAGTTCCACCATAAAGAGCCATTCTGTGTTACTCCGTCTTCTCCACTCTAATGTATGTGGATCCATTGAAGAGGACCCATTTTGGGCCAGTATATATTTTGCGACATTCATTGATATATGATGCATCACGAAAGGTATGGACTTGGCGTCTAAAATAATGATCAAGTGTTTGATCATTTCAAATTATTTCATGTCATGGTAGAATTTTTTATTTTCGAAAGAGATACAAGGAAGAAGTTAAAGTTTCTATTTTCTTGACAATGGAGTAGAATAAAGTTTCTGGGAATTCTCAGCAAATTGCGCTAAATGTGAAATCATACATGAGAAAACGGTTCCACTAACACCACTAACACAATGGTGTAGCTGAAGGAATGAATTGAACCATTATAGAAAAAGTTTGTTGTATGCTCAGTATGGCTAAACTACACATGCCATCCTGGGGCGAGGTTGTGCTGTCAACTTGTTATCTTATAAACAAGTCATCTTCTGTTCCTTTAAATTTTGGAGAGAGCGGCATGTCACGCCTTTCGGCTAACACCCTCTACTATAAATACCCCTCATTAATTAATTATATAAGGGGTTGAAATCTTAGCATTTATTAACATTTACTAATGTTGTCAAAAAAAATGTTGACAGCATTTAGTTTAAAAAAATGTTGTCAAAAAAAAACATTTACTAGTCAGGTGGCACATGTGTTGCACTAATAATGAATAAGCTTAATTTTTTGTGTGTACGTAATTAGGCTCATTAGTAACATGTATATACATAGTACATACTTATTTTATATAAGTTGAAACATAATTTGAAATTGCAACCAAATAAGCATTCTTATATCGTCTTTGATTTTTTTTAGTCTAATGAGCATTTCTATCACTATCATCTTATAATTTTATACTACAATTATTCATAGATAATTTATGATTGTGATGACTATTCAATGCATTGTTTATAAATGCAAGTATTTTAAATAACATATTGTGTCTAGGCTGAGAGTTTATTGTGCATTATAATTTTTTAATAAATATCATCCTAAGTTGAAGATATTTACCAGTACTATATCTCCCTTCACCTCTCTCTATTATAAGGACTGTGAATGTTAATATAAATGAAAAAACGGTGATTACCTCACAATTTACATAAACGAAAAAATGATAATACTATTAAATTATTAATCAAGAGACGTGAAAATGTTGGTTTTCAATTCATTTCAAGTTATGTTTGTGGGTGGATTATACAATATGTTTGTATTTAAAAAATAACAATTAACCTATCAAAATTTTGAACAATGAAATGTTAGTTGTATGAAAATGGACACTGCTAACGTCTTCATATTTTTGAATGATTAATATTTTCTTATATGCTTTGTAGATTGTTGTTTATTACCATACATGTAATGTGTTATTCAAGTAAATTATATTCTGCAATTGCAGTTAATTTATTGCCAACTTTATAAAAGAAGTATTCTTTCACAGAACTTTTCTAGCCGGATCATTCACACTTAAATATAATCTAATACTCTATATTTTCATTTTTTGATCAGAACATTTCATTATTCTCTCTTTATTTTTTATGTGTCCAAATGAATTCTGATGTTTTATGTTTCTAATTCTTCAATTTTTATATTTATATTTATTACATTTTTAAATGTGTTATTTATAACTTGTAACTATAAATTACATATTTACATAATCTTTATTCATTATTATTAATTTAAGAGTTATTAAATGCTTCATTAATTAAGATAACATTTTTCACTTCTTTTGACTTCAAATAGATTTTTATTGGGTACCCACCATACTCTATTCATAGATTCTCGTATAAAGATAAAGATAATGATTCCTCCACTATTGTTCACACCTTGAATTGATAGATCAAAGGTGGAGCAAAAGTGTAGGGATTGAGTTGTTTAAAATAAACACTACCTAATATTGTAGAGCTCATTAATATGTGGTACTTCATATGAAGCTTGTACATCATTTATGCGGAATATAACAATCCGGAAAAAAATTTGTGGACAACTTTTTTAATTATTACTTTTACCCCTAAAAAATTGTTATCTTTTACTTGAAAAGTCAATGGTGATAAATTTTGGCAATAATTTTTATATAGTACAAGCATATGAAAGATGACAAAGTTTCAAAAGAAATAAATATAATAGTGTATATAAAAATGAATGAAATTAAAATTGAGAGCCTTTTGATAACATCTGCTTTTAGATTATCACCTCATCAGTCATATTTTTTGTCAATCATATTTTGATTTCGCACGCACAATTGTGTAAGGATCAGAATTGGCATGATTAAAGTTACTTTTTTGGCTGAATTAGTTCAAATTACTTATACGAAGATTTTAGCTATCTTTCGTTTAATTTTAACCAAATCTTATTAGTAAAATATATTATAAATATAATTTTTTTAGAATTCTATAGATTTAACCAATTCAATCACAATTTAAATATTATCAAACAGACTTAGAAAATGAAGACGTGCAAAACTAAAGTTAGTGATCAAATCTACAATATATTTATGTCAAACAAGTAGGAGTAAAAGGATGTGTGAGTTATGCATACTCGTCAACCCGCCGGGAAAGCTGACACCACCTGGGATCGAGTGCCTAACCATAAGGGCAAGTACGCCATTAATATCCAATATCACCAGCTTCCTCTTCTTCCCGATCGTCAAAGGCAGAGCAACACCATTTGAGGCTTCACCTTCTTCCTCGGAATGGGTTGGCTCCATATTCTCTTTCTCAACATTCATGACTTTTAGGTCTGATTTTATGTCTTTGAGGAGTACGTACCGCGCTTTTAGATGGGAATCGGTGGATTATATATACAAGTATATCTATAGCCTCAAATTCAATGGAATTATTAGTAGCTAGGGGGTATCTAGATAGGCCTTTGAATTGATGGCACCCCTCTATCTTACTAGCATTTGATTCCCTACTTTCACCATCGTTTACTTGTTTACATCTTACAAGTCTAATTTATTACACGGTTTGGTCACTTTGGTTCCCTGTATTGTATCGATGACATTTTTTATACTTGATTTTCAATTTTTTCATTTGTAATCTTAAATTATTGTGTGAGAGACACACTTGGTCTTTGATTTTACAGTTTTTCATATTTAGTCTCCTAAGTATTAGCAGATTGACATTTTTTGTCATTCCACTATGATTTTTAAACAATAAGTGAAGGACTAAAAATGTCACTATTATAATAGTTGGATGAACAAAAATTCACATTGATGAATGCTGAAGAACTAAATACGGAAATTTTTATATGCGGGTATCAAAAGTGTCTTTCACACATTAGTCGAAGGACTAAAAACGAAAAAAAAATTAAAATCGAGTACCAAAAGTATGAATAACATAATAATTGGAGGATTGAAAGTTGCAAAAACTCTTTATTACATGAGTCCACTTTTCATATCACATTTAGCAAAAAAAAAAAAACCGTGTATTGGGTAGTGGGCACTACCGAACTTTGTCTTGAGTCATACTATCCTACGTATCATAATAGTTGCAACATTGGATTTTACACACTATTCATGTACTCTACTTTGACTACATTTTATTTATTAATGTATGTGATTTTTTTTTAAAAAACAATGTTGAATTCATCTCATTACAAAGTTTCATAATCGGATTTTTAAAAGTTTTTTACCAATAGAGAATTAAATATAATGACGGTCAAAGTTGTGCATCAGCAAGCGTGAAAAAGGAATGTTGCAACTAAAAAAGAACAGGGGAAGTATGTCATAACTGAAGTCTCTACCAAGCAATACATCTTTGAATTAATAAGCAATATATCTTTTAATATCAGTACGTATGGTTGTATATGAATCAAATAATTTATGTTTAGTTCAGGATTCTAATTCGTATGAAATTTTTCAAAAAATTCAAATCCGAGTACAAATAAAAATATAAAATTTGATTCGAATTGTTATCAGATATAAATAAGAATGTCAATCGATTGGAATGTTAATCAAATATATTTGATCAATAATTGTACTAATTTCATAAAAGCAGAATAGTCCAACAACATATAGCTAAGCACCCAATACTGCTTAAAGAATTAATGATAAAATAAAGAATTATTAATTGATTTATTGTAGTTCATATTCTAGAACTTACTTTAACAAGAAGTATAAAACAAAACGACATAGTAATAATAATTCATGACTCTTGTATGAATAATTACATAACATGTGTGTTAAAAAAAGAAAAAAAAAACATTTGTTCTAATACATTTACATTTAAGACTACTCTGGGACTTTACAAATCAAACAATTTTGATTTTATTTGTGATTCGTTTCTACTTATACAACATCAAATACCCAGTATGTGCAGGGGCGAATCCAGGAATAAAAATTGTTGGGGGCGCCATTTAAAAGGTTTAGTACAAATAATATTCCAATAAATGTATACTCAATATCAAATTTGAAATCAATCTCATAGTTAATACATTTGTGTATTTGAATATTAAGCTCAATAGACAAGTAAGACAACACACCACATATATATACAATATGCATTTATTTAAAAAATAAGAACATATTTATGACTAAAGTAAAAGTACTTCACAAAAAATGGGACATCTTAATTTTATTGACTATAAAAGTAACTTTATTCATAGTGACATATGGTCAATGTTTACACTTAAGTAGCTACTCCCACCGTCCCTGGAAGTTCTTCCATAGTACAAATGGCACACACGAATTAAGAAAGTGAAAATTGTGTGGTGGAATTGTACAGAGGAGAGAGCAATGTGTAAGAATTGTTGTGAACCACAAATTCTTTACCAAAAAGGGAAGTGAAGTTCTTTTTGGGACAGATAAAAAGGAAAGTTGGAAGTATTTTTAAGGACGGAGGGAGTATAACATAGTACTGAGTTTCTTTTTGGGAATAAGATTGCTCTTCATGTACTAACAAAAAAAAGTCAAATAAGGGTTTTCTATTATCAACAATATTTAATACTTCGTTCTTTAATTCTTATAACATTGTGATTTTTGCACTATTCACAGACCTTACTTTGACCACGATTTTCTACTAATATACATAATCAAATTATTACGTATAAAATGTTATTGAATTCCTATCAATGTGAATTTCCAAAATATCAACTTTTTATAATGTTTACTAATACATAATTAAATATAATTACAGTCAAAGTTGTACGTTGGCAAACGTGAAAGTCAAACTGTTGCAAGAATTAAAGAACGGAGGATAGTATCTAATTAAAATTTAGAGTCATTTTACTCTAATATAACTATCAACTTACTTATAACACATTATAGGTATATATAATATTTAATATGTATGTTTGTGTTTATTTCAAGAACTTTGAAATAGATTTATGTATATTAGCCATGAAACTGATGCACTTTAGTATATTGTGAACCACCCAAAAACGCATTGATCCATTAAACTTTAAAGAAAAAATATAATGTTACAAGTTAAATTTTAAAAACACATACTCGTACTAATTCATAGCATGCATTTATAACATAAAAAAAATATAGGAAAAGTTGTTTTAAAGCAATATTTGACCAATAATTAACTTATGATAAAATTGATCGATTCAAAACTTCTATATGTTTCATTAACTATTCATATTGTTAAACGAATACGAATATAAATTGAAATTACCATTATTTCATATCCAAATCGGATTTGTATTTAAAAAAATTAAACAAATACGAACATAAATATCACACTATTTGACTCAATCAGGTTCATTTACAATCCTATGAGTACGTAAACAACAAGAGGACCTGGGGGAGGCATGAGGTGCAAGTGTGTGCCCTTTCCTTCTGGCCTATAAATTGTTTCGTTAACTATTCATATTGTTACACGAATACAAATATAAATTGAAATAATTGACATTCATTTCATATTCAAATCGGATCCGTATTTAAATAAATTAAACAAATATGAACATGAATATCACACTATTTGACTCGATCATGTTCGTTTACAATCCTATAAGTACGTAAACACAAGAGGGCCTGGGGGAGAGGCATGATGTGCTCTTCTTGCTACTACAAAGAAAAAATAAAAAATTACGATTAAAAGATTCGGCTTCATCGGGTACCAAAAGGATAATTAGTCTAACCATCAACCAACAAATGAAAAAATCAATTGAACAAAAATTGTCTGGATAATCAGTTTGACCAGCCACCGGAAAGAAGATTCAGTTGAGTGCTATCTTTTTCTTCGAGGGAGGCGGTGGTTCAGGAAGGGGACAAGTAATTGAAGCTTTAGAAGAACTGGGTTGAATCTGTCTTGCCAACCATTAATAATGTAGCACTCAATCGGTTACACGGACGAGGAAGACACAACCTCTAGACATTCTTAGAAGAAGAACAAAATACACGTTCACCTGAAGCAGACATAACTCTAGCCAGAGAAGATGTCGGACTAAAACCAGAACCCTAGTAGATAGAGAAAAAAGGAATAACATAACAAAACAATTGATTCATTACTGTCCAGAAAACATCACAATCATCAAAAGTCTTTTCAATATGAGAAATCAAGCCAAAGATTAGATCGTCTAAAAGTTTGCCGCCTAGAGTTTCTGTAGGGCCGACCCATGTTCCGTAGCTTATTTACTCGTTCCATATCTATTACAATATTTATTTCTACGTTGCATATGACCTTATGATTACATTTTGGGTAATTCTATACACAGCCACGAAATTACTAATCACAACACTCAAATCAAATTTAAATACATAAAATTATATTAAATATCGATTTTAGCCTTACGCAAATACAGTATGTAACGATAGATCAACTGCTTAGGAGAATCATCTATGTGGTTTTAAATTTATGAAGAGCCGGAAGTCAACAAAATTGGAGAAACATCGATCATCTTCCTGATCGGAAACATTAGAACCCCACCCAGGCAGGTCCTTCTCGGACAGTTTTCTCCTTAACTGTGTGCATTGAAGGCGAGCAGTCCCTAAGTCCTAAGATGTGGGTGATTTGTCATCTGCTCATATTAGCCAGAATCGGATGAAAGCCAATCTAAAAAAGAATCTTCCTATCTGATTTGGTGCGCCGTTCCGACCACAAGGGATTTTTGTTCATCTTCTTCCCAGTTCAATTGCGCAGGATTATTAAACGAGTCAGGCTGCTAGGGGTAAAATAGACATTTGTTATAATTTTATTTATTTAAATTTAATTAGGTGGTTGTGATTAGTAATATTGTGGCTGTGAATAGAATTACCCTTACATTTTTCATTTTCACTATATTGTGATAGATGTAACCAACTATTCCCATATCCTCCTCAGCATAGTATGGGCTTTTGATGGGATCTGCCATGGGCCCAAGGCTGCGTGCTCATGGGAGTGTGGGTCATTGCACACGTGAATGTGGCCACCTTAGGTGTAAAAGTGAGCTTTGAAATGTGTTGTTGTGTGTCCATTGGGCTTTTTAGTCAATAATCACTCCTAGACACTAGCTCGTTTAATGACTTTATATTTTTTACTATCTCCATCCCACTTAAATTGTGACATGAGTATGTGGCACAGTTTATTAAAAAAGTGGAAAAGTGAGCTTGCATGCTTGATATTGAATTATAGCATAAGAATAAAACAAAATTGATATAGAATCACTCAAACTTTATCAATTTAATATGAGACAATCCTAGTAGGACGGAGGGGTAATTTTTTTGTGTATGATCATCAACAGATATATAAATATTATTGAGGATAGCATTGAAAAAAATCACAATTTGAACTGATTATGTACATAATGTTAAGATCTGGGGGTTCCATCCTAAAAGGTCAACCCTATTAGGAGTATCTCAGATCTTAATATAGCACTCTATTACTTCTTAATTTACCGGTGTGGGACTTTAACACCCCTCCTCGACACTAGAGGTTTCCTCTGGATCGCGCCGTCATTCATTTTTTCGTCGTTCGTGATTGTCATTTTTTATAATCGTGTCATCATTTTTCATAAGGGGCTCACACCATGGTTATGGATAAGTTTGGCTCTGATACCATGTTAAGAGTTGGGGTTCCATCCTAAAAGGTCAACCTGATAAGAGGAGTAACTCAAAGCCTTATATAGTGTTTAATTGTTTTATAGCTTTCCGGTGTGGGACAAATGCTTCAACACGCCCCCTCAGCTTGAACCGGGCTGGACAATATCGGGGTGTATAAACGGGCCAAACAAACCCTTAACAAGCTATCCTTAATCATGGGTGCTAAACAAGCCGTCAAACCTCAACCGGAATTGGCTCTGATACCATGTTAAGATCTAGGGTTCCATCCTAAAAGGTGTCCGACATTTCCTCCCATATCTTAATATAGCACTCTATTACTTCTAAATTTACCGGTGTGGGACTTTAACACATAATGCGCAATATGTTTCAATAATTTAGTTAACTGATTACGGTTTATTATCACAATTTGAACTGATTATGGTTTATTTATCTGGAACTGATCATGATTTGAGCAATTGAGATTTGTCTTGCATCGACTATATATAAAATAATGAATAAATAGATGAAATCTTAAATAACTTCAACTTTCAGTGGCATTAGGTTTTTCTTGATCCAAAAGGTGGAATCTTTCACCCCCGGAGCCTCCCACGCCCCGACCCGACAGGGCAGATGGGGGGATATAAATCATGGTGACTCAGTCGGCGGAGCAGCAGTAAGCCCATATGCCCGTGCGTGCCAGAGATCCAGCCTATTTCAGAGGTTGTGGCCTCCACACAGTCTCTGCGGGGACTCGAGCCTGGGTTCCTTGAAAAACATTAAAGCGGCCTATGACACAGAAAAAATGATGAAAAATTTAGAGAAAGCGGCGCTAAAAAAAATGATTCTATACATAGAGAAGTTTGTTTGTTAAACAAGCCAAATTCTGTATATCATAAAGATGAGAATTTAGATGAACGTTTATTATTATAATGCATGCTAGTTTAGACACAAAAAAATGTTTTACAATTTTTTTTTATAATTAGCCCCATATTATTTGTCCGCCCCTAGGCCTTCAAAAATACAAGATTGGTCCTGATTTTAGGGAAAACTTCTCTATAGGAGAACAACTCAAGATTTTACCTGTCTTACTTTTCTTTTTGGATTATCCCAAAATAAGTGTCACATTTCTCTTTTTGGAAATATATATGTGGTTCATAACATTTGACTTTATTATACTCAAATCACAACCATAACTTTTACCCTTTCAACCATTTAATTAAAAATTGTGTCAAAACCAAATGAGCAGTGGAGGACCTAGGGGGGGTTCTAGGGAGCAAGTGCCCCTGCTTCCGACCCCGAAATTTAGTATTAGTACTTATGATAAAATCGGGGGCCCGCTTCTTGATACAAAACTATGACTATTAGATATGCAATAATTCTGTCAAAGAACATATGTAAATTGTTATAAGACATTTAAATGACTATAAAATTATGATGAAGCGATTTTAAACAGTTAGACATGTTTTTGACACGCTCATTCTTTGAAAAGTGGCATTAGTGGTTTTTTTTATATATGAATTATCTTTTTCCAAAATTAGAAGTCAATGATATGATGAGACTTCTTATAAGTGTGGTGAGCTTAATGGATTTAAGATATTATATTAAATGAAATTTCATATCCAAGGTATATTCATTGTTTTTTTTTCAAATACAATGAGTCGTTGTGGTTATTGCATAAATAAAACGTTTGTGGATACTTTTCTTTGGATAATTTGTCTATGGTTATGTTAATAAAATGTTGGGATCCTCTTGTAAAATGAAGGGCATATTCCGACAAAATTAATGATATCATAAGAGAGTTGTTAGAAAAGGGTGTAGTAGTAACAAACGGGAAATAATTGAATCAAGAAATTAAAGTACTTTAGCTCGGTCAGGAATTACATGTTGGGTTCACAATTTTAATTATCCCAGGTTGATTAAAGAATTTTGGACAGTGTAATTCTGTGGCACGACGCATAACGTTGGACACTATCCTAGTTCTAAATCAAAATTCTTACCGTTTGTAATACAAAAACAACTCGAATTCTAATCCAAAACCAGAAATGGCACTAGGATGATTCAGTTCTAATTCATTTGAAGTATTATGTTTTTCTTTCAAAAAACCAAATATTATTATTTAGAATTTTTAATGGGTTGAAAACTAGACTGATGTACATAGATGTAAATCATTTGAAACTGACAATGAATAATTTGTTTTTGTTTTAAAAAATTGTCTACACATTGAATAAATTATTCTCACACCCGACCCGGCCCATCTCCGCACATACAGTAGTGTCCCGCTTGAGAAAAGTTCTAGGTCCGCCACTGCAAATGAGACACATAAAATGGGAAGGGGGTAATATATGAAAACTTGAACGCATATCATCTACTATGTAGTCATGTAGATCATAGTGAGTGATGCGATTACTTGCACGAAAAACATATACTCCCTTTGTCCCTAAAAGAAGTTTCATTTCGTTTATCGAGGGTCAACTTAAATCACTCTTAAACTCTTACTTTTTATATCAAAATTTTATAAAAGTTGAATTATTTTTTGCAGGCTTTGTAGCGGGTTTAATGTAGTTTCTGAATATGTAAATTTTATTTACTAAAAATAATCCGAGTTTTCACAGGGATCATTTAACTTTATCGTCGGTCAACCTTCGTAATCCACAATTGGAACAACATTTAGGGGTTGTTTACTTTTTTTTCCATTAAGTCATGTCTAGATTAAGACGTCTGTATGGATTAAGATGTCTGTCTGGATTAAGTGAATTTAAGATTACAAGTTGTTTACTTTATATGCTGAATAAGTTATCTGAGTGTGCTAAATAACCATTTTATCCTTTTTCCACAACAAGTGTTTGAGTTCGTATTCTCTGTGAATTATTTAAACACAAAACACAACAATTTTACTAATCTATTAACAATTTCTTCTAGCAAATTCTTCAAATATTATAAGCTTTGTGCAACCCCACTCAAGAAATTACCTAAATGAAGAGAAAGTTGCCCAAGAAATGCAAAAAAAATGCCCTATTAATCTGTCAAATAAATGAAGAATAGGATACCACACCCAAAAAGTAATTTTGACAAAGCAAACAAATTGGATACTCGAACATTTGACTTTAAACTGCACCCAAATTAAAATTCCAATCAAGATTAAACAATTGCTATTGTACGGTAATGAATGGATCAAAAAGAATAAAAACGCTATCTGCAAAAAAATTGGGTGTGCAACCACAAAAAGTAGAAATTTCTATTCTAACAAACAATTTTGAAAATGAAGGTCGGCCATGAAAGCTTTCTTCGCTGGTGTGCTTGGCTGATTTTTTGACAGGAGGAGAAGAAGAATCGGTTGTAACTTGCAAAGTCCAACAATAAAATCCCCTTCGCGTCAGAACAAGGGTAAAAAAGAGACCTTCGATCAATTTATATGTCTGAATAGCAAGGAGTACTAAAATGTTGTTGAACGAATCAGACATAAAATGACTTAGCGAATAAGTCAAAATTTTAATAAAGTCATATGTAAACATAGTCATATAGCTGAACCATTAAGTCGGAGTCTCCATTAAGTCCATTAAGTTGTAAGTAAACAGCCCCTTAAGGATGGAGGGAGTATACCATACAAGAAAAAGTGCCAAGTCTAGGATAGGCTGTTAAAGATAGCTCTATTCGTGAGAATATATGGCCGATTGTTATTTTATTGCTAGTTCCCCTTGAACAACGCTTTATTGGGGCTTAACCAACACTTAAGGGTCTATAGAGGGCAAAATGGTCAGTAAATGATCAGGAGTGTCTCGAGAGAGCTCTAATAATTCCCGAGTAAACCTGCCAATTGGAGTTTGTATGGTCAATGGCCTTTTGACCGAACGGGTGATCCTCCACATATGTTCTTACATCTTCATCAGCTCCTGCTAACCCTTCTAAATATTCTCGAAGGTCACCTCCCGGGCCTGTGAAATAATTATTAATATAATTAATGAATAAGTCATACTGATTAATTATGAAAGTGTAACTTTATTTGGAATACAGTTACCTAATGATTGATCATTCATCATTGTTGATTCAGTGTAGGAATGAGGAAAGATCGCAGTGTGACTCTGCGAAGCCATAGAGAAATCAGACTAAATTAGATTTAAACAGACCCGCCTAAACTAATTAAGATTAGACTTTAATGATGTTAAATTAGACATAGAGCAAACATCTTGGGAGACCTTCCGGATAAAAATATCCCGTTCAGATATCTCCATTTGAGACGCTCTCCATCGTTTTTTTATGAAATTGTACATATGTTCTTGATGAAGTTTAAATTATGTCCATCAAATCATCTTAAAATTCAATTGGAGTGCCATTTAACAAATTATTGAAAAATACTGCGTCAAAATAGATATAACAAATGTTGTGTTTTTCAATTATTTATTTAACTTACTTACCAATTGAGTGAAAATATGAAAATATAATCTAAACTTCATGAAGAAAATACTACAAAATTTCTTCAAAAAATTCTATCAGAGATCGCCTCAAATGGAGGCGGTCATACGGCAGCTACAGTGAGGAAGGCTTCACGGGATTTCTCATACTCCCTCCGTATCTATTTAATTGACCCGTATGCTTTTTCACGTAGCTTAAGGCAAATATATGTAAAGTAGGGGGTTTTTGGTACTGTAGCGGCACTGTAGTGGTACTGTAGCAGTACTGTAGCGGTACTGTAGCTGCTTTTTTGAGTGGGTTTATTTCCAAAAAGGTAATGAGACATTTATTTTGATACGTCCCAAAAGGAAAAGTGGGTCAAGTAAATAAATACGGAGGGAGTATTATTATAGATAAAACTAACTTAATTATGTATATGTCTATAATACTACTACCTCCGTCCCAAATCATTTTGCAAAGTCATCATTTTTTGGTCGATCAATGTTAAAGTTAAATCATCTCTATTTTTAATTAATTCAATTTTAATAATTAAAATTTACATATTTAGAAACTATATTAAATGCTCTATAAGGTTGCAAAATCTAAACTAAAATTTAATAAAGAATTGATATCTTAATTAAATGAATAAAATGAGTTTGTTTGACCTAAAAAATTATAAATCACTTTGGAAGAGGTTGTAGTTCGTGTGCGTTCCTAGAAAACTAATCTTTTAAACTATCAAATAAGCCCTCGTACTATACCGAAAAAGTCGATTAGGCCATCGTACTTTACAAACACTCAATTAAGTCCCCGAACTATTAAAAAATGTTCAATTAAGTCCTTTTGGTTGGTAAGTAATCGGTTTCCTGGTTAAATGTAACATGTTTCCCGGCAGCCGCCGTTGCTGGGGTTCGAGCACATCGTCGTTGTCGTCGTCGTTTAACCGGCAAACCGGTTACTTACCGACCGAAAGGGCTTAATTGAACGTTTTTTAATAGTTCGAGGACTTAATTGAGTGTTTGTAAAGTACGAGGGCTTAATCGACTTTTTTGGCATACTATGGAGGCTTATTTGATAGTTTTCCAATCTTTTATAATTTAATTAACTCAAAACTACTTCACTTTGGGTGACTTTTTTTCAACCTAAAATCGTAGTACCATCTCTTTGGCTCTTCTGACTCATTCCAGAGCTCCAAGTGACCATGGCCTGAGACTACCGTAGTACCATCCACTTCTAGCAGAGTTTCGGCGGTTCCACTTCTTAACTTCGCCGATTCCGACGGCTCTACTTTTCTACATTTCTCTGACTTTGGAAATGTTAGCTAGACTCTTCTTAGGCTAATCGCAACCGTCCAGCCCGTCAATAAATCCAATCTCACACCAGTTATATACATCCAGTCAATTCAGTTTTTCTCTGTAACTCAACATCGTCAGTATATCAACTCAACACACATTTTTTTAATAAATTGCATAAATCCTTACTTTTTTAGTACACATTATTTATGTGATAATTTTAGTTTTACCAATAATTATTATTTAAGAAATCAAACATTCCAATATAAAAAAATAAAAAGTGTGAATTAATTTTTTTTGTAAGTATTAAAATGTCCACTTAAGTTCATTTTGAAATAAATTTTTATATTGTATATGGTAAATTTTTCATTTAATATACGTAGTACTATGTACTAATATTACATTTCAAATAATTGAAACTCATGTAGTCATGTTGCTTTCCACGCATCAATTTAAACTTGCTCTCAATTGAAACAAATTTTATGAACGGAAGCCTTTTTCACCCTCAAGCCAAGCCGTGAACGCCCACGGAGCAACACCAACCATTCCTTTGTTTTAATTTGCTAGTTTGGTCTGTTCTGATTTGGTCTAAACTGGTCTGGTGTGATTTTTTTTTTAATTTTTATAACTATCCAAGCCTGGTCTGGTGTGGTATGGTCTGTTCTGGCCTGATAAAAATTAAATTCCAAAGTGAAATATCCTTAGTTGTCAGTCACGTCAGCCCAATTGCTTTCTCCACCCGGCCACTCCGCATGTCACCTCCTGGCTAAAGTCTATTGCCCACACACAAGTAGCTCCCCTCGGTTCTCTGTACTCCATATGAGACTTCCGTATACAATATTTAGTCCGGGTTACACCTCTTTTGGGGTGAAATATTTATAAAATGTTATGAATGTTTCTTATGCTTTTCTAGTATTTTCTTGTTATAGTTTTATTACTTCTATACTAATCAAAGTTAATGATTCAATTTTTATGGGTCAGCCACTGGCCGGGAGGCAATCGCTATAGTGATTCTGGAAGAATGGGACAACGTTGAGTTTAAGTTAGATGCTTTAATGGTGGTGCAAGAAGTGCAGGGTGAGAAGGGTCACTCTTTTTGTATATATCGTGTTGCCTATACTGCAGCTAGACAAATTAAGCGTGTTACTTCCGGATCACAAGTGTAGTTATGAAGATATTCCAAATTTTATTGCATGTCATACGACTATGAACTATCGACTAGATTTACATCCCCCAAATAACTTTTATGTCGGTTCTGGAAACTCTCGGGGATGCGAAATCATTTTTTTAAACCTTAACCTATTCCTGCCATCCTAATAATAACTACATCTACCTCTAATTAATCCTAAGAACTTCTTAAAGGTATGGATGAAATATTAAACTAGATTTAAGTTTAATTAGAACCCTTTGTATTCAATAATTGGTGTACTTACAGGATTAAGCAAAGCCTTGTTTGGAGAATCATCCACTAACAATGTGTTTGATTCATTGTAGTCAGAGGCGGCTACGGCATTTTGGAGGCCCTAGACGGCTAGACAGACAAATACTTACGTCGCAAAATCATATCGTATTTGAATAAAAAAAACAGCATATAGAAAGAAACATATTCAAAGTGTACGATATAATATTTTTAATATTCAAAAGGATAAGTTTTAAAGGCAATAGTACAAATGTATGCAAAATACATCACAAACTTGTACATGTAACACCCTATTGGCCTATTCTTCTTGCCTTTTGAAGTGCAAAATCAGTAATAACATCACTACAATCAAGAGTAGCTAATACTTTTTTTTCAATCGATAAAATAGCTAAGCCACTTAATCTATCTTCCGACATGGTTGATCGTAGATAGTTTTTTATAAGCTTCAACTTTGAAAAGCTTCTTTCTGCAGTAGCCACTGTCACCGGAATGGTCAACAAAATCCTGTAAGCAATCCAAGCATTTGGAAAAGAAATATGCATATCTTTTATGTACTCCAACACTTCAATCACTTTTGTTGTGCAGTCCGGTAAAGATTTTCCAAGCAACTGTAGTTCCGAAAACAGCTCAACTACATCAATATCACAATTGTCCTCATGCTTCAAGAAATTGCCAAGCGTGTCACAACAACTCATCAATTGCTCATCGCTAAGTCCCTTCAACTTACTTAAGTCATACAAGAATCCAAATGTATTCTCGTATTTTTGAAACTGCTCAAATCTAGTAGTAAGTGAAGATATAGCATTATCAACAACAAACAAGAAGTAAGTTAACTTGAATGCACTTTCTGCTGATTTTATCGGTTCGTCCATTGCATTTTCATCGAAAAACCTCTTTTTGGTACGAACTCGTGTTTCACGAAATTGGGGTTGAATATTTAATTCAATCGCCAATTTTTCAGCTTCAACTTTGGCTTTCTCAAATCCATCTTCTCTATAATCTTTAAAATATGCAATCAGACCTTTCAAGAGAGTAATGGCTGAACTGATGATCATATCTTTCTGTTGGAGGACTTTGCTAACTTTGTTTACCTTGTTGAGTATCTCGTACCAGATTACCATAGCAACAAGGAAATCAAAGTTCATTTCATACTCACATATGGACTTTGCATCACTCACAGTGCTAGGATCGTTACTACATTTGGTCAAGTGCTCTAATGCTTGTTGTATCTGCGGCCCTTGAAACCTTATAGCTCTAACACTAGCAACACGACTTTCCCAACGTGTATCTGACCATGATTTAAGAGTGAGACCATTTCCATCACCATCTTTAAGGTACATCTTCAGAACCTCCCATCGTTTGGTTGAACCTAAATTCAAAGATATTTAATTATAAAAAGAGTATTGTTAAAGTTAATTAGTAATAAAATAAAAGTAATAAAAACTACTGAAATGAAGTTAAAAAATTACGATCATACCTGAAAATAATTTATAGATGCGTTGCACCACACCAAAAAATGTTTTTGCTTGTACACAACTCATAGCCATATCACAAAGGGCGAGGTTTAAAGAATGGCAACCACAAGGAGTATAAAATGCTCTAGGATATTCTCGTAACACCCTAGCTTGTACCCCTTTGTTATCTCCCTTCATGTTTGAGCCATTGTCATAACCTTGTCCCCTTACATTATTAAAGTCAAGTTCATGAGTGTCAAGCAATTTTTTAAGTTCGTCAAATAGGGCTTCACCTGTTGTCTCAATGACTTTAACAAATGTGATGAAAAACTCCTCAACTCTTATAGGGCTTGTAGACACATCTATACATCGAATCACAAGTGTCATTTGCTCATCATGACTAACATCCGGTGTGCAATCAAGAATAACAGAGAAGTACTTTGCACTACGAACAACTTGAAGGATTTTTTTTTTTACTTCATTTGACAAAAGTTGTATCATCTCATTTTGTATATTATGACCAAGATAATGATTTCGGATCTCTTTCTTCCGTATTCTCCTGAGATGCTCTTCCATTATAGGATCAAACTCTGCAATCATGTTAATAATGCTCAAGAAATTTCCATTATTTTCATCAGAAAGCTTCTCCTTATGGCCACGGAAAGCTATGTTGCAAGTAGCAAGAGTCTTGACAACAATCATAATCCTCTTTAAAACAGCTCTCCAATACTCCTTCTCTTTATTGATAGCTATTTCTCGGGAAGCATCAATTGTTACCTTTTTTTTTAACCTCATTTCCGCTTCCCTCCATGCTTCCATGCTAAGGATATGATCAAAGCTCTTTTCATGCTCTACAAGTCTACAATGTATGTTGTGCCAATCACTATAGCCTTGACCCACACTTGTTAGAGGGTTTAGCAGCACACTTTTTTTGAATAAAACACAACAAAAGCAAAAGACTTTATCTTTTATCAAAGAGTAAACCAACCATGGTCTATCATATCTCTCCCCATTTCCCAAGCATCGAGTATAGAGTTTGTCATTGAAACTCCTTTTCCTATCAACGGGATATTGAAGACCACTTATTCTTATAGGACCTCTCTCTACCAACAAATCTATTTGGCTTTGAGATATGGGTGCTTTCCAATTTCCCGGGTCAAAGAAATCATCTAATATCTCGGGCATAGTGACTTCACCTACAATCTCTTCCTCATCAACAATTACACTGTCCCTATGAGCATTAACATTCTCATTCTCCTCTCCAATATTTGCACTATTATTCTCATTCTCAGAGACAGGGATTGTATTGTCATTGTCAACAATATTTGAGGAAGAAGGATTTGTCTTTACAAATCGATCCATAGAGCCGGCAAACGACTGTATAACCAAATCTTTCCGCAACCTATTCTTTCTTTTTGTAGACCCCGATTCAAATTTCCGCTTACCCGTCATACTAAAGACGCTCCTAAAGATAATATTCATAGATAATACAAAGTAACAAAAATCACAAATTAATTAACAAAAAACGTAAAACTTTTATTCTTCTAAATACAATGACAAATTAAATAAAATAACTACTTTACTATCAAATAGACTACTTGTCTGCCACTTTATCTTAGCATTTACTACGTATTACTTAATTTACTTTAGGTCGGTGGGTTGGCCCCTTTACAGCCCAAGTTCCTTTATGGCTTTATGCTTTAGAAATTTCAGATTATAACACATGTATTTCATTACTAAGGATAGAAATTATAGAAATAAGAGAGCAATTTGAGCAAACTTACCTTACTCACGGAGTCGGCAAGGCAGCGACTAGCAGACCCAGCACTCGAGCAGCAGCAGGCCAGCAGTTCAGAACAGGTGATTTCTTCAAGTTGCCGACAAATCGGAATTCGGAAGTTTGGCGGAAGGGCAGATACTTGGAGATTTCAGAGTTGGGGGCCTGTAGCCGTATGCGTAAATTAGACTCCACCGCTCCACATCCACGGCCCAGATGGAGATTTCAGAATCCAGATAACTAATTTATTATTTCTATTATTATTATACATATAATTGGGGATTAATAGGCAATACTAATAGGTAATTTTTTTTTTTTTGAGGCCCTCTTGGAATGTGAGGCCCAAGGCACTTGCCTGGCCCAACTCCCCCTAAGGCCGCCTCTGGTCGGCAGTCTACGATTACTTACTAATCTTACTTTGAATAACACGTTGTTAACTCATACTCCTTAGGACCGTATTACTTTATCCGTAATCTTATAACTCGAACCCAATCCAACATTAATTTTATAGCTTTATCATGGGAATCTAAAACAACGTGAACCATGCAAACACCAAATAAAGTTAAACAATTCTTGGTTTAAACTTTTTTATACACTTGCTTGTGTATACAGATGACTTTAAAATATTTTACATTTTTATTCGAATTGCCTGTATGCAAAGATAGATGAAATAAGAGTATAAAAAGGTGTAAAATTAAAATTCTCCAACATAATTATGCTAGAAAGTCCAATATAATGTGCGAATCAAAAGACAGATACGTACTTAAGGAGTTATAAGGTGCGGAAGCTTGTGACTGTATTGCGTGTGGGGTAGACAACTAGACATCACCCAAATTATTCATCATTCATAATTATTATTTTGACAAATTCTTCCTAATTTTAGCTCAATCCTTTAAATTCATAACTAAACTTTTGACTAAATCTTCATGTCATTCATCTTTAATCACGCATTCAATGGGTTGGTTTTGATGAGTACCCACTAAAATAATCCACACTTCAATGCCTTCCCTAAATTTGTCCTATGCAGGGCCGGTCTTAGGGGTGCAACATGGGCGACCACCCTAAGCCCAAGAAAATAGGAAGAAAAAAATAGGCCCACAAATATTTTTTTATATGTAGTGTGATTATACCTATTTTTTTTTTTAATTTTTAAATTCAATTAATTAGGCCCAGGGTTTAATTTTTAAAATAAATGTAAAGAGACACGTCTATCTTAATTGTCTTCACATCTCTATGCTTTATAATCCTTTTAATTACAATATTACCAAGTTATGTTAAGTCTCCCAATTCCAAAACTCCCAATTGGAATAGTGCATCCAAATTGATTTGTTATTTCCAAATTCCAAAATCAACAAGATTAAAGAATGTTGCAAAGCAGTGAGTGCCTCAGCAATTGGTTAGAATGTCAATCAACCGAGGAGGCCAAACATGACAAAAAAATTTCTTCTTTCAAGACTTCAAACAATCCAATAATGACCAATAAACCATTATTGATAAAATGGATGAATCAGGTTGGGATAAAGAGAGAAAGAGGAGAGGAATAGAAAAGGTAGAATTAAGTTAGAAGGGGTCAATGGAAAAATTTGCTTTTGTAAAGAAATTGAATCTTGAAAATTCCGCGAGAAACATGTTTAAGTAATGTTTTTCAAAGTTGAAGATTCTGATGAATTATCTGCGATCGACTATGTCTCAACAAAGACTTAATGGGTTAGCAATTTTAAGTATTGAACATGAGATATTGGAAAAGGCTGATTATGAAGCAATTATTGATGATTTTTCTTTACAATGTTCTGCGAGAAAGATTTTTAAGTAATGTTTTTCTTTTATGTGATACTTGTGTTGTTACTTTTCACCAAATATGTATTTTAGGTGATAACAATAAAGTGGGATTCTTTTTTATTTTATGAGCTTTATTAGATAATTTTATTATAATTATTATTCTAAATAAGTATAGTTTATTGTTTGTCTTGAATATAAGCCTAAAATATTATCTCGCCCATAAGCCCGAAAGTAGATAGGACCGGCTCTGGTCCTATGTTATCCTCACATCCCAACTGTCCGTAGTGCCACTGATTAAGAGAAAATTCAATCGCCCCTACGACCCCATCTCGTCATGCTGTCCTTGAGGATTTTGCATGAGATTACTAGTAGACCAACTTAGAGCAACTCCAATGCTCTAAAATTTGAGAGGTCTGTTTCAAAATGGGATCAATGTTTCAAAAAAAAGAGGGTCCATTAGAGACTCTTCCAGTGCGGAGTAAAAAATGATAGAGTTGCCTTGCCACGCAAATGACAACTGCAAGTGGGTGGTCCTCCATGCAAGTGGTTCCATTTCTACCTATTTTAAATTGTCAAGCGGTGCAACCGAAGGTCCACCTTGTACTAGACCTCCTTCCATTTTTTAAATTGCCACATCAGCTTTACCCCATCCAGGGATGGATTTGGGGGGGGGGGGGGGGGGGCGCGGGGGGCGACCGCCCCCCTTGGACATTCAATTTTTTTAACCATATATGTAATATTTTCATAAAACTTTCATAATTTAATTAGATTCGCCCCCCTTAGCTTTTAATTTTCATAATTAATATATATAGTCTTACATAATGTAATACTTAATTGGAGATTTAAAAGAAGAAACATCTAAAATAATTTACATTACTTAAACAAATAAACAATAGAGTAACTCGTTATTTAAGATTTAGGATACTTATTATATAAGAATTCCTAGTTTTGTAATGTTTAATTATCTTTATTAGATAACAAGTACTGGATTTCGTAAAACATATATCAAACAATATTAAATACCAGACACACTAATTACACAATTTTTAGATCACGTGAAATGAATCCAAAATATAAATATTTATAGACTTTAGATTACATAATTCATTTACTTCTTGCTTTCTAAAAATATTTTATTGCATGGATAATAAACTCTAAATTATTATAGAATTAATAAAAATATTAAAATATAATATGCACCATATATATGTGTGTGTGTGTATGTGGTGCATATTATTCTAAAAATAACAATCTCATACATACTAGTATACTACTATTGTAATATTAAGAAAACTTCTCATAAGTCATGACTCACGAACACCCTCCTTGGTGGACAAAAATTACAATTCAATAACCGATTCATGAGGTTAAACAATGTAGAAGTTATTAAAAATGTATTGGTTGATGTCTTTGTCATCGTCTAAACTTAGAATGTAATAGATTTAAATGTCGTTCGGGATGTGCATGCATTAATGTCATTTTTTGAATAAAAATAGCCGCATAGCCCTACAGTAGCGAAAAAATTTCGCCCCGCTATACTAGGGAAAAAAATTTCACCCCGCTACACTAACAAAAAAAAATCACCCCCTACACTAACGAAAAATTTCGCCCCCCTTGACTCAGAATCCTGGATCCGTCCCTGACCCCATCCATTCTTCTTTGCATTGGAGAAGACAAATACATCCGCCAAGTCCATTTGCTGAGGTGGAATAGCAATGCACCTCAGCATTGAAGATGCCCTTATAAGACCTTATATGTATATATTCCTCCGTAGAGTATTAGTTTTGCCCGTTTTAAACAAACAATACTGAAATTATTTTGTTGAGAAGATAGACTCAGTGAGTACAATGTACTATCTTCATCCCCTTTCTGTTTACCAACTTTGACTTTTCCAGTCAAAGATTGTAAATTTTGATCCATTAATTTAACTAGTATATTTATGTGAAACTTAATTAATTTATACTTTTATGATAATATTTTTAACAAAGAATATTTCCATATCATTATTTTCATATTATCAATATTTCCGTGTATAAATATATAATCAGTCAAAATTTAACATCATTGACTTGAAAATAGTGTTGGACTAAATAAAAAGGGACAAAGGGAGTATTATGTATGACTTCACTGTCTTAAATTAATTGATGTTCTCAAAAAGTGCATAGGTACTGACACATGTGATACAATAATAGTATTGTTGATGAGTAACCAACCTGATAGAACTATCCTGTGATGACTAACCATGCAGCTAGAACTGACACATGTTCTATCCCAGAGAATGTTGGACAGAACTATTCTAAAGTTCTGCACCTAGATGCATAATTACATCTAAGTGTCTAAAGTGTGATATACGCATGATATATGTGGCATCATTTGAATTTGCTTGCATGCATAAGTTGACTTTTATAAATTAATCTTGAGAAAACTGTCAAATAGGTCCTCGAACTTTCATAAAAAAGTCAATTAAGTCCTTCTATAGGAGACTTTGTCCGGTCGTCGCGATTTGGGGCGGTTCGCGGTGGAATTTTTTGATGAATTTTTTTGAGCATCTTATTCATCAAGCCTAGTTTAATCATACCAAATTTCAACTAAAAATTTAATCGGGAGCGCATTCAAATTAATTCGAGAACGATAAGTCTTGTTGATAGGAAGGATAGTTATTGGTGGGTGGGAGAACAGAGTGGTAGAAGGACTTAATTGACCTTTTTATGAAACAGAATGCGGTGTCTATCTTCCTGAACAAACCAACTATTTATTCTTTCAAGACTCCAATTTAATTTCTCCCTGTACTATTACGAAGGGCAGCCACATTCATATCTCTTATACCCACTAGTCTATCAGAAATAACTCGCCCATTGTCCCCAAGCAGCCAAGAATCTGCCCAAACCTGTGTATCGATCTCATTCCCAACTCTTCTCCGGAAATTATTTTTTAACACTTCTTGAGTCTCAGAAATACTTTTCCAAATAAGCGATGGATTGTTACCCAATTTAGCATGTAGAAAATCAGAAGAGGGAAAGTACCTGGCCTTCATAACGCGATGCATCAAATGGAACTTCATAAATTTAAGCAGAATAGCCGATTCAACCAATTTAAGTGTTGCCAAACAGGCTCTTCATATATTATACGGAGTCACTAAATTCATGTATCTTGTGTCTCTTCAAAAAATATCTTTATGACGTGCCATGGTATATGTTCACATATTTCCCACATTGAGTCATCAAACATGAACTAATAAACTACGGAATACAATATAAATAAATATCGGGTTAATCCTTCTATAAGATTGATCTTTTAGAATTAAACATCAAGTCGATATAAGAGTCATATTGATCAACAATCATGATGTGAGCACACTATGAAAAATGACGACAATAGTGTAACGAAGTTTTGACTTGGAGTTATTTCCGTCCAGACCAGAACATGCCATGTCAAACTTAACCAGATCGGACTAGATCAAACTTAATCAAACAGACATTAACAAACTTCAATAGTTACACATAGAATACACATGGACTAGACAATTACTAGACCAGGCCATATCGATTCAGATTAGATCAGATCAGACCAAATCAAACCTGACTAAACTTAAAAATCTCAGTCAAATTAAAAACATCATATGTCCATGACCTAATGAATCAATTAAAAATGAATGAGCACCTGATCCAGACGAAGTGTTTGATCGTGAGGATGAATGTTGAAATATTTTTTACATCGATAAAATATGAAATAATGAATTACAATATAAAAACATTGAACTACTCCCTTTACACGTTGACTTTTTGGAATGAAACATTGAGTCAGATTATATAATGAATTTGCAGTTGCAAAACGACCCTTTTGTGAAGATTTTCTGCACTTCTGCTTCGAGAGGTTTGACGTGGGCATCTGGACATCTAGAGCCAAGTACGTATCTATAATTAAGAACATTATGTTATGACATACTCTGGGTTTGCGTGAAATTAATACTACGTACCGAGTATGAGAAAAGGCATGTGTTTTAAGAGGAGAAAATACAGTATTCTATCTTAAAATTTTACAGTGTTTTTAATGCTAGCAAATTTCCCAAAGGCCTAATCTACGGATCACAAATTCACATCTATGTGTGTCCCAAAAATGTACAGGGCAGATTATCTTGACCAAATTGTTGATTATTTATTAGGAGATATGAAGAAAAAGTTGTTGTTTGTTTGGGTAAGTTGAACTTTCGTTTATCATTCGTTTAACAATCAATAATCATATATTACATGAAGTTTGGATTAATTTGCTTCTTCTTATTAACTATGTTTTTTATACCGAAACTTCATTGTAGGATAGGTCCCATTGTTCCAGAACAGGATTTATGACTCCTGAGAACAGGTACAAACCCTTACTCTGTAAGGATTTGAAGAAGGTATGGGAGAATGATTGGCCCAACCAACCTTCGGTGGTGAAAGGTTACTACAATCAGAGGCGGCCTTAGGGGGAGTTGGGCCAGGCAAGTGCCTTGGGCCTCACATTCCAAGAGGGCCTCAAAAAAAAAAAAATTACCTATTAGTATTGCCTATTAATCCCCAATTATATGTATAATAATAATAGAAATAATAAATTAGTTATCTGGATTCTGAAATCTCCATCTGGGCCGTGGATGTGGAGCGGTGGAGTCTAATTTACGCATACGGCTACAGGCCCCCAACTCTGAAATCTCCAAGTATCTGCCCTTCCGCCAAACTTCCGAATTCCGATTTGTCGGCAACTTGAAGAAATCACCTGTTCTGAACTGCTGGCCTGCTGCTGCTCGAGTGCTGGGTCTGCTAGTCGCTGCCTTGCCGACTCCGTGAGTAAGGTAAGTTTGCTCAAATTGCTCTCTTATTTCTATAATTTCTATCCTTAGTAATGAAATACATGTGTTATAATCTGAAATTTCTAAAGCATAAAGCCATAAAGGAACTTGGGCTGTAAAGGGGCCAACCCACCGACCTAAAGTAAATTAAGTAATACGTAGTAAATGCTAAGATAAAGTGGCAGACAAGTAGTCTATTTGATAGTAAAGTAGTTATTTTATTTAATTTGTCATTGTATTTAGAAGAATAAAAGTTTTACGTTTTTTGTTAATTAATTTGTGATTTTTGTTACTTTGTATTATCTATGAATATTATCTTTAGGAGCGTCTTTAGTATGACGGGTAAGCGGAAATTTGAATCGGGGTCTACAAAAAGAAAGAATAGGTTGCGGAAAGATTTGGTTATACAGTCGTTTGCCGGCTCTATGGATCGATTTGTAAAGACAAATCCTTCTTCCTCAAATATTGTTGACAATGACAATACAATCCCTGTCTCTGAGAATGAGAATAATAGTGCAAATATTGGAGAGGAGAATGAGAATGTTAATGCTCATAGGGACAGTGTAATTGTTGATGAGGAAGAGATTGTAGGTGAAGTCACTATGCCCGAGATATTAGATGATTTCTTTGACCCGGGAAATTGGAAAGCACCCATATCTCAAAGCCAAATAGATTTGTTGGTAGAGAGAGGTCCTATAAGAATAAGTGGTCTTCAATATCCCGTTGATAGGAAAAGGAGTTTCAATGACAAACTCTATACTCGATGCTTGGGAAATGGGGAGAGATATGATAGACCATGGTTGGTTTACTCTTTGATAAAAGATAAAGTCTTTTGCTTTTGTTGTGTTTTATTCAAAAAAAGTGTGCTGCTAAACCCTCTAACAAGTGTGGGTCAAGGCTATAGTGATTGGCACAACATACATTGTAGACTTGTAGAGCATGAAAAGAGCTTTGATCATATCCTTAGCATGGAAGCATGGAGGGAAGCGGAAATGAGGTTAAAAAAAAAGGTAACAATTGATGCTTCCCGAGAAATAGCTATCAATAAAGAGAAGGAGTATTGGAGAGCTGTTTTAAAGAGGATTATGATTGTTGTCAAGACTCTTGCTACTTGCAACATAGCTTTCCGTGGCCATAAGGAGAAGCTTTCTGATGAAAATAATGGAAATTTCTTGAGCATTATTAACATGATTGCAGAGTTTGATCCTATAATGGAAGAGCATCTCAGGAGAATACGGAAGAAAGAGATCCGAAATCATTATCTTGGTCATAATATACAAAATGAGATGATACAACTTTTGTCAAATGAAGTAAAAAAAAAAATCCTTCAAGTTGTTCGTAGTGCAAAGTACTTCTCTGTTATTCTTGATTGCACACCGGATGTTAGTCATGATGAGCAAATGACACTTGTGATTCGATGTATAGATGTGTCTACAAGCCCTATAAGAGTTGAGGAGTTTTTCATCACATTTGTTAAAGTCATTGAGACAACAGGTGAAGCCCTATTTGACGAACTTAAAAAATTGCTTGACACTCATGAACTTGACTTTAATAATGTAAGGGGACAAGGTTATGACAATGGCTCAAACATGAAGGGAGATAACAAAGGGGTACAAGCTAGGGTGTTACGAGAATATCCTAGAGCATTTTATACTCCTTGTGGTTGCCATTCTTTAAACCTCGCCCTTTGTGATATGGCTATGAGTTGTGTACAAGCAAAAACATTTTTTGGTGTGGTGCAACGCATCTATAAATTATTTTCAGGTATGATCGTAATTTTTTAACTTCATTTCAGTAGTTTTTATTACTTTTATTTTATTACTAATTAACTTTAACAATACTCTTTTTATAATTAAATATCTTTGAATTTAGGTTCAACCAAACGATGGGAGGTTCTGAAGATGTACCTTAAAGATGGTGATGGAAATGGTCTCACTCTTAAATCATGGTCAGATACACGTTGGGAAAGTCGTGTTGCTAGTGTTAGAGCTATAAGGTTTCAAGGGCCGCAGATACAACAAGCATTAGAGCACTTGACCAAATGTAGTAACGATCCTAGCACTGTGAGTGATGCAAAGTCCATATGTGAGTATGAAATGAACTTTGATTTCCTTGTTGCTATGGTAATCTGGTACGAGATACTCAACAAGGTAAACAAAGTTAGCAAAGTCCTCCAACAGAAAGATATGATCATCAGTTCAGCCATTACTCTCTTGAAAGGTCTGATTGCATATTTTAAAGATTATAGAGAAGATGGATTTGAGAAAGCCAAAGTTGAAGCTGAAAAATTGGCGATTGAATTAAATATTCAACCCCAATTTCGTGAAACACGAGTTCGTACCAAAAAGAGGTTTTTCGATGAAAATGCAATGGACGAACCGATAAAATCAGCAGAAAGTGCATTCAAGTTAACTTACTTCTTGTTTGTTGTTGATAATGCTATATCTTCACTTACTACTAGATTTGAGCAGTTTCAAAAATACGAGAATACATTTGGATTCTTGTATGACTTAAGTAAGTTGAAGGGACTTAGCGATGAGCAATTGATGAGTTGTTGTGACACGCTTGGCAATTTCTTGAAGCATGAGGACAATTGTGATATTGATGTAGTTGAGCTGTTTTCGGAACTACAGTTGCTTGGAAAATCTTTACCGGACTGCACAACAAAAGTGATTGAAGTGTTGGAGTACATAAAAGATATGCATATTTCTTTTCCAAATGCTTGGATTGCTTACAGGATTTTGTTGACCATTCCGGTGACAGTGGCTACTGCAGAAAGAAGCTTTTCAAAGTTGAAGCTTATAAAAAACTATCTACGATCAACCATGTCGGAAGATAGATTAAGTGGCTTAGCTATTTTATCGATTGAAAAAAAAGTATTAGCTACTCTTGATTGTAGTGATGTTATTACTGATTTTGCACTTCAAAAGGCAAGAAGAATAGGCCAATAGGGTGTTACATGTACAAGTTTGTGATGTATTTTGCATACATTTGTACTATTGCCTTTAAAACTTATCCTTTTGAATATTAAAAATATTATATCGTACACTTTGAATATGTTTCTTTCTATATGCTGTTTTTTTTATTCAAATACGATATGATTTTGCGACGTAAGTATTTGTCTGTCTAGCCGTCTAGGGCCTCCAAAATGCCGTAGCCGCCTCTGCTGCCGACTGCCGTCACTTGGGAGAACGATGTAATATTGAGGTAATGTGATTATCTTGAATTACTTAGGTAATAAATTGAAGTAAGGCAGGGGCGTCTTTAGCATTTTGGAGGCCCCAGACAAAAAAAATACTTAATATTAACAGACCATGAAGCTGTTTGGCAACACTGTTTTTCGGCTTATCAACCAACTTTTCACAAAACACGTAATTTTTACTTTCGCGCGCTGAATTGTGTGATAAACAAAAAAAGTAAGGTGGAGTTACTTTTCTGATTGTATTTGCTGAAGTTACTGTAGATGACCATTTTAGCTATTTTGACATATGATTTTTTTCTTTATTTTATTAATAAAATATATTTTAAAAATAATGTTTTCTTAAATCAGCAGAATCAGCCAATGCAGCCACTCCAGCCAGAACTTCATAAATTTCAACAGAATAAGCCAAAACAGCCAATTTTTGTGCTACCAAACGGGCTCGATATCATTGTAATTTCATGACAACACCTAAAATAAAAAACAACCGAGTCAACAAAAAAACCAAATTTCACAAATGAAGTCACTAGGGACAATCTCATAAATACACAAAATACATAGTTTACTACTTCAATATTTTACAAGCTACACTTCAAGTATTTATACTCTCAATATGTCAATATTAATTAATGTACCAATATATCAAATTACTTAAATTACCAACAAGGAACAACCCCCAATATGTCAATATTAAGTATTATATTAACTCAATAAGCGTTAATCATTGGTCATACCTCAGGTCCTTGTTTCTTTTAAGATGCAAACAGCCGGAGACACGCATGACCCTCATTCTATTTCCTTACAACCCTTGTTAAAAAGGTAATTAATGCTTCGTATATTCCTTCTCCGCTAACCCTTGTTAAACAATCAGAAGTTGCACATATCCAGAGAATAAGACTAATGAGATAACTAGACTCGGGCAAAGTGATAAAGAGCATAAGGCGGTGGGCAATTCAGAGGTTGTGCCGTTTGCGCTCGCCGGATGGCGTTGCCGCGTTTGTGCACCAGCGGTTCCTTATTCCTCTTAGAATGCTTTGGTTTTTCAGATGCTACGTATTAGAATTTGGGAATTGGAAGGGATTCGGACATTTGGATTAATGATTGTTTTGCGGTCTTGGGAACGGAATTGCAGATTGCTCGATTGCTCTTCCAGTGGAAGTCTTTCAATTTCTAAATCTAATTATCCATAATACTAATATTTTTAATTTTTGAGGCCCCATTGGGAAGTGAGGCCCAAGGCAAATGCCTGGGCAAACTGGCCCTATATCCGCCCCTGAAGTAAGGTTACTATTGCAATGCTCTATTATCCTTAAATCATGTACAATGTATTCTGACAATTTTTTATTTTTAAATAATTAGTTTTCTATTTATATTGTCTCAACCAAACACACCGGATAGTCTTACGTACGTTCTCTAAATAATCATTTTACCTACATAATTTTACATTTTCATAATCTCAGTATCTCACATTGCCTTCATAAAGATATCACAATGAAATGGTTGAATATACTATTTCAGTATTTCGAATAGCACCTAAGCCTGGACTCGGGCCGGCGGTTCTGGAATGGGGGGCCCGGAACCGGCCCGGGTAAACCCCGGTTCCGGTTCGGGCCGGGCCGGGCCTTTGTTATTTTTTTTTCTTTCCCTAGTTAACCCCAACCCTCCCCCCCTCACCCCCAAACCACCTCAAATGGCCCAAAATACCCAGCCCAACCCGAAAAGTAAAACAAATTGAAAAAAAAAAAAAAGGCCCGGAACCGGCCGGGCCGGTTCATGATTTGGGGGCCCCGAGCCCAGACCGGAACCCACGCGGGTCGGGCCTACCCGGACCGGTCACTGACCGGTCCACCGGGCCGGAATAGTGCCGGTTGGGGCCGGTTCCGGGTCGGGCTACCCGGCCCGAGTCCAGGCCTAATAGCACCCTTGAGGAACCATCCTACAAAAGAATAATAAGGGCCCAATAGAGTAAGAAAAAAGAACAAGGTCTTTCAAAAAAACAAGAAAAAACTACTCTGGATGTAGATTGAGGATGTTTTCTTTTGGACTGTTTTCAGTCCCAGACCAGACTAGACCAGACCAGACCAGACCAGATCAGACCAGACCAACCCAGACCAGACCAGACCAGATCAGACAAGACCACACCATATCAGACTAGACCAGACTTCCGTAGTTATAAAATACATAGAGACCAGACGTTTACCAGACCAGACCAGATCAAACCAGACCAGACCAGCAAATTTTCTTTTGGAATTCCAAAAGAAAACATCCTGAGTAGTTCAAAAAAGCCACATATAGTACTTCTAGTAGGGGAGAATAAACCATGAACCCGTTTGGTGACACATTTTCTTGGCTTATCAAGCTTATCATCCAGCTTTTTCACCAAACATGTAACTTTTGCTTTCGCGCATTGAATTATGTAATAATAAGAAAAAGTAAGGTTGAAGTTACTTTTGTGACTGTATTGGCTGAAGTTACTGTAGACGATCATTTTAGCTTTTTCTTCATATAATTTTTTATTTGATTTATTAATAACAAATATTTTAAATATGTAGTATAATTTTTCATAAATCAATAGAATCAGCCAATACAGTCACTTCATCCAGAACTTCATAAATTTCAATAGAATCAGTCAATTCAGCAAATTTTTGTGTTACCAAACAGGCTAAATATCCCATAATTACATACTTCGTACCAATCAGTACTATTGATGGCATTTTGAGAACCACATTTATAGTTAGAAAAAACTGTTTCTACACCGAAATATACACATTTTTATATAGCGGAATTTCTCTAAATAGGACTAAATAATAAAAGCAAAATTGTAACACAAGAAGCTATAAATTTAAATTTCTAAAATAGGACTAACTCATCCAATTCTGTCTCTCCCTTGTCATTCTTAATAAGATTTTATAAATAATAATATTAAACATAAAAATATAGAACTAAACATATACAAAACGTAAAAAACAATTACAGACCCCTACCACAACCTCAGTCATCTCCCATCACTGCCACCTCTAGTCGCTGGAAAAGAATACCGAGTTTAAAAAATGTCATGTTGATGACAATTTTGAAAAGAAAGTTGGAGGATGCGGGTGGCAGTGAAGCTGGTGGTGTTGGGAAGTGGAGGATGCGGTGCAGTGACCTACATATTTTTTAGAAAGAATGACCATAATATACCTGTCGGGTTGTTATATGACAAAAATAAGAGTAAATTCCGTATGGACAAAAAAGATGCTAAAAAGGAGATAAATGGACTCAAATGCCCCTGAACCCTAACAAAATCGGCGCTCAACCATTTCCAGGACCCTGTACTGCTTTCTTCTCTCCTTCGATATGAGCAACGACAGCCACACCATCAGCAACGACAAGAGAAGGATCATCACCGCCGCCCTCTCTGTCACGCCCCGGACCTACCGGACACGTCAACAACCCGCCGTACAGTACGAATAGTCAACCGCAGTCCAACTCGTCCATACTATACTAGGCGTCTTGAATACCATTCACACATAGTACATCCATAAACAATCATAACGTAAAATGTTTAATAAAGCAGCGGAAACATCATTACAAACACTCAAGCCACACGTGGCAACCACGGGCATACAAGCCCCCAAATATATATATTTGAAATAATATCCATGAGCATTATTTAATTTATTTTCAAACAGAAACAGAAGAAGCACGAACCACTTCTTCTTCTTCTTTTGACTTCTCCGAAGCAACGGGCGGTTTCAACGAGCTCTACTCTCTACCTGAAACTGTGAGGTGGCCTCCCCCGTGAAGGGGAGGTCAGTACTTGGAAGCATTTGACAAGCACAATGACAACTATACTAAGTATAATCAAAGTTTCAATTTCCAAGACCCTCAACTTAGGATGTTATTACTTTGTAATTAATTCACGTTCCTTCATGCTAGAGCTCGGCTCATAGTCATGCTAATTTGTGCTAGAGCTCGGCTCGTAGTCACACTACATTTTTGCTAGAGCTCGGCTCATAGTCATACTAATTTGTGCTAGAGCTCGGCTCATAGTCACACTACCTTTTGCTAGAGCTCGGCTCATAGTCATCCCCTACATTTTTGCTAGAGCTCGGCTCATAGTCATACTACCACGTGCTAGAGCTCGGCTCGTAGTCACGTCATCTAATCCCTAAACCACTTCTTAGTCTAGGCTCCATTCTTTTTGAGTAACCCTTGAGGTCTACTCCTAATATAACTTGACTTCATAAAGTCCACCTTAATTGTCCTTTAAAGTTACTTAGCTTCAATCTCTTGGGATTAGTTCCCAAGCACTATTGAACTAACATCCCCGACTAGTCCTTCAATACTAGTCATTTAATCTTAATAAATCAAAGCTAATTTCATAATAATTCGTACATTTCAATTTAGCTCCATATTCAAGTATAACTTGACTTAATATCAAAATATCACTTTTATTCCCCCCATGAGGTAAAAGTATATTTTTCACAATACAATTTTATAATTTGCACAACAATTGGGTCATTATAATCACAACACATAATCATACACAATTTATTCATAAATTTGTATATTATGTATTCTCTCTTATAAACAATAATATATCTCATTTAGGCATTTTTAATCATAACTAAATCATGCCAAGCACATATAGTTCATTTAGGCAATCTTATGAAATTAACCCAATAATTATAAACAATATAGTCGGTCATCCTCACCTTAAGTGAGCTTAAGCGCGTTCTACACTTCCCGGTTGAACTTTGGCGAACTTTGACCAACTCCGGCCAACTTTGACCAACTCCGGCGAAACTCCGGCGAAGCTCAAAGATACTCTAAATCAAGCTCCTAACAAGGTTTTAACATCATAAAACCTTAATCAATACGCATAACCTCTAAAAGGTTATTTTCCGGTGAACTTGTCGGTTTGGCTTCTAAATCCATTTTTGGACATAGAACCACCTTCCAACCCCTTGTTCCACATTTATCAACATGTAGAACAATCCTAGGGTTCTTCATAATTTCTCAAATAATAATGTATTCAAGAAAATAGGAGAAAAAGGTAAATGAAGTCATTACCTAGCCTTTCCTCAAGTTTTTGTACACTTTTGGAGCTTAAACTTTTTCCTAGAGCTTCCTTCTTGTTGGAGCTTTCTTCAACAATGGAGAGGGAAGGTGGAGAGTTTCTTTGCTCTTGGTGGGTGAAGGTTGGCCGCAGGAAAATGAGGGAGAGGGGTGAGGGGGTGTTCTTTTGTCTAAATGAGCAAATGAGTGTGGATGGGATCCACCTCATTTTGTTTGATTCCCATTCTCTCAAATCACACTTCCTCCCACATGCCTCCCTAGCATACCAGCCGACCAAGGCCTTGAAAAAATAGGCTAAATTCGTGGGTTGGCCCCCACCCATGTGGGAGGTCAACCCCTTTTGTCCAGAAGTGTACAATCGGTCCCGAAAGTTGTATTTTTTCGGACTGTTTTAAATATATTTTATTTTATCGGGTCAAATAAAATATATTATGTGTTCTTAATCATTATACTCCTCATAATGAATATACATTTCCCAACTTTAATTTATAGGTCTCCGAAATCCCATTTTCGGGCTTTTATCGGTTAAATTACTAGTACCGGTATTTGGCCTTTTTTGATCAACAGGTCAACTCTATATCGTCTCTTTGGACCAATGAGTTATACACCACTATATAAATATTATATTGACCAAGATGAATAAAATGTACGGTCTCGGGAACATCGGGCGGCCCCCGCTCCTGGTGTGGGCCCCACGTGCGAATTTACTATTCTCGCAAAATAATTAATAAAAATTCACAACTTCGTATTCTCATTAACCATTATACAAGGTTCAATATATTATTCACTTAAAAGTAAATACATTTGGGGACGGTGTTACAAGTTCACCCCCCCTTATTTGGGATTTCGTCCCCGAAATCCACGTGTCTAATCGAAAAGAAACGGGTATTGCTCCCTCATTGAGACCTCCGTCTCCCAGGTTTCTTCTTCGACTCGATCACTCCTCCAAAGAACCTTCACCATTGGAATCTCCTTGTTCCTCAATTTCTTCACTTGTTGCCCGACAATCTCCACCGGTTCTACTGCATATTGTAGATCTTCACGTATCTCTACCGGTGG